TCCCTACAGCACATTAATTCTCACATCTGATTGAATATTGAATTCAACATCCCGGTGTTATTGCCTCTATTTCTGTGCTTGGTAAATTAATCCAGGGAAGTGTTGTTGAATTTATACAAGACCTTGATGAGGCTGCAGGTGGAATAGTATGTGTTGTTCTGAGTGTCCTGTTACAGAAAGCACATCAGAGCCATGGAGAGAGCACAGCATATGATAATAATCCTTGCATTTAGTATAGAGCCTTCGTGTTGGAAGGATGTCTCAAAGCTCTTCACAGGATTTACTGTGAAATGGAGTCACTGTGTGTATTTGTAGGCCATTTAGGGATTTACATTTAGAGTTAACATAGGGCCAGGAATGAGAGAGGTTTGTCAGCACTCTGAGACACTACCCTGCCTGAAGGGCACTATATAAATGGAAGTTGATGTTGTTTATGGTTATGAGCACAGACTGAAAACATTGGGGCTCTTTTCATTTGAAGTGTCAACCCTGGGTCAGAGATTGTGGGCTCAAGTCACATGTGAGGTCTTTGAGCTGCTAGTCTAGGATAACACTTCAATGCAGAACTGAGGTTTCACCTGAACTTAAAAGATCTCATGGAACTATTTGAAACGTGGAAGGAGTATCCTCCAGGTAAAATTGATCCGTCAATTCATGGCTACTTGTGGGTCATTGCTGTGCGTAAAGTTGGCCATCAGTTTGCCTACTAAATACATAGTCACTGTTCGTCACAAAAACACTGAGACAACTGACGTTCAGGCACTACATTAAACGCAATGATCATTTTTTATACTCGAAGGATTTAATAGATTGCTTAAAAATATCTGAAAGGTCTTGAAAAGCAAAATGGGAGACATTAGAATGTAGGTTCACACAGAGAATACTGTGCAAGGGATACTGAGTTTGTTATGAGGATAAGATCAAACCATCAGAACTCTTTCCGTTGAAGTGCAGAGGGTTAAGAAGAGATCCAGTGGATGTCTTCAAAAAGGTTTTGACAGGATAACTAGGGCTGAAAAGGTGGGCTGGAGAACGAGTGGGTAGCTGGGCAAAAATGCCTTCAGTAGCTGGTTGACCTCCTGGGGATTTCCAGCATTATATACCACACATGTTTTTTTTACACAAGACATTTTAATAAACTTTCTCTGCTTTCCCATTTCGTTGATTTTATGCGAGGCGTTCAATTTAATGATCGTCAGTAGCTGGGCTGCGATTTATCACAAGCACAGCGTGTCTAAATTGCTTCAACTATAATATTTTCTAATTCTCTGCATATGGTCAGTGCTCGCTATTTATCGCAGCTGCTAATAAATCCTGGCATGTTCTCCCCGGTCCCATCTCTGCGCACACTGCTGTGATTACACATACCGAGCGCGTTGCTGTGTACTGCTCCACCCACATCACTCCCACCCTCGCTCGCCTCCACTGGCTCCCCATCCCCCAGAGGATCGAATTTAAGATCCTCATCCTCGCCTACAAGGCCATTACCGGCCTTGCTCCCTCTTACCTCTCCGACCTACTATCCCCCTATCTACCTGCCCGTACCCTCCGTTCCCCTGGCTCCGGTCTGCTCCACATCCCCCGCCCCAACTACCCTACCATCGGTGGCCGGGCCTTCAGCCTCTCAGCCCCTAGGCTCTGGAACTCCATCCCCCAGTGCCTTCGCCGCCTCCTCCCTTTCCTCCTTCAAGGCCGGTCTCAAGACCTTTCTCTTTGACCGTGCCTTCAGCTCCCCACTCGACTCTCTACCCCTTCCTCACCCCTTCCCTTCCCTCCCCTCACCCTGACCATTTCCCCCCTCCTCGCTCCCTCCCTTCCCTCACCCTCACCATTTTCCCCCTGCTTGGGTCCTGACCCAACTGTCCAGCACTTTGGGACGTTGTTCAGCCTTGCACAGCGGCCAGAGCCGGGGAGGAAACCCACCCCCCCCCCCACCTCCGTGCATGCTGATAGCCCCCTAGCTATCAGACCTGACTCCTGCCTTGCTCCTTGCTCGACCACTTTAAACTGCGGCTCCGTATACAATGATAACAAGTTACATGTATACAGCACCTATCACATCGCAAAGTGCTTCACACAACTGACTGAAAGCTGGAGTTGGCAGGGGGCGTGTGTGGGTGTGTGTGGGGGTGGACCCTAGTCAAGGAGCGTGGGGGAAAGATGGTTAAAAAGATCGGGTTTTAAGCCGGTGAGGGAGGGGGTGAGGCAGAGGGACTCCGGGATAGTAAAGTATGTTAAACCAAGATTTGGTTGGCCTGTTATTCTGGTAGACCTTAATATAATATAAATAATAATCTTTGCATTTGTTGTAGCGCTTTTCACGTCTTCAAGATGTCTCAAAGTGATTCACAGAATATGCTCTAAAGTGACTTGACTGTATATTTGTGGGTGAAACATGGCAGCGAATTGCGCACAGCAGTGTCCAACAAACAGTCGTGGATTGAGTGACCAAATTCTTATTGTTTTTTTGAGGGATTATTATCCCCAGAAATTTGATCCGCCAATCGATTAACAACCGGTTCCTACTTATTGCTAGGTAAACGGAGGCATGTAAGGAAACTTTTCGCCCTGCTGGGAATCGAACCCAGGTTTCTCACTTGTGAGGCGAGTGCTCTAACCACTGTGTTACAGGCTTCCACAAAAGATCCCATGGCACTAGAAAAAAGTTACTCCTAGTGTCCTGGCCAACAATCCTCCTCCTCAGGTAACATTGGTCGATCATTTCATAACTTTTTGTGGGACATTGCATGTGTAATCTGGCCGCTGTACCAATAGAGTCAACAACAACTGCAACAACTTGCATTTATATAACACCCGTCCCGGAACTGAAATGTCACCACTAAAGCCAAACTGAAAATTGCGCTTCACTGTCTTGTTCTGGATGTCTGTGCAGTCAATCTTTCCTTGTACTTCAGGTAAAAGAACAAATTCCTGTTGTAACACATTAAAGTTCCCTTTTCTGAATCACTAAGTGGTTAATTGCTACGCTGCCAACTACAATTATCAGAGAAGGAAGCTTGTGCCATTGACTGTGATACCGACGAGACAATACAATCCATTAGATCCCAACATGTTATTACACATCTTCCGTAATTTGCAACCAATTTGGTGTAATTTTCTTGCATCACAATTATTGAGGCTTATTTAGAGGAGGCGACGGGGGAGGCAGAGTGGGGGGGGGGGGGGGAATGGGGAGTGGCGGTTGGTGAGGGAGAGGTTGCCAGAGCACCTGCACAGCGCTGATTGTGTGTGTGGGTACCATTGCCAGCCGCAAATGGCAGATTATTTCAGCTCTGCCAAGAAAGATTAAGATCATTAACCGTCTGATCGGTCGCCTTCGGTTCTAAGCGGGTGTGTGGAGCCCTTGAGCAATTGGCTCACAGCATACCATTAGGCTGGTAATTAAACAGGTGCAATGATTCTCTCTGTAAATGACTTGACACAAATTCCAAATGCTGCTATTCATAAAAGCAGTGCCTTACACCTGCCCAGCATAATTGCTTTGCCTTTACTTTATCAGCGTTGTGCATCACCCCCTCAAGCCAGCTATTAACAGGCGTCATGTGCTACCCCCGCAACCTCCAATGAGTGCCAACGGACGGGCTCGAGTTTGGAAGCCAAATGAATTGTGGAGCAGTGTCGGCGAAGCAATCTCCTCGCATTACCAGAGGGCTTTCTAAATTGCGTTCTGCTCAATTTTTTCCCCGATGATTTGAATTTAACTCACAAGGTTAACAATACAACATATATCATTGTCGAATCAGTAAGCACAACATTATCCCACCTCTTGCTTTACCCAAGAAACGGGCACTGCTATGTGCGCACAGGGAGCAAACATTCTTCCTTCAGTGCAAAGCCCATATCCTTTAACTGGGAATATGACTTACAATAAATAAGAATCCTTGCATCTGATGTGGTGTCTTTTATGTCATCGCAAAGTCTCAATATGCTTCACAGGATTTACTGTAAAGTGCAGTGACTGTGTACTTTGAAAGCAAATGTCAGAGCCAATTTACGCACAGCAATGTCCCACAAACAGCCATAAAATGAATGACCAATTTTATCTTGTGCAGCACTTTAGTACATCTTGACGACATGAAAATGGGCAATAACAAGTGCAAGGTTTATTATGATTGTTATTATTAAATAATATTATTATGTACTGATGTGGACGATCGAGGCTCAAGCTCGTTGTCTGTGTGGAACATGTCTTCGAGCCAAACTCATGACAGTTTGACCAGACTCTATACTAAAGAATAGAAATAAATGTCTCTAGGAGCTAGAAATGCTTCCCTTTGCCACTACAGTTAACACACCGTTTTAAAGTAGTTCACTCCCTGCAAATGAAGGGTTGACCCACTTTCCTTTAGATCACAAGAAAGGTTTGATTGAAGGAAGACTTCCAACCCGTTTGATCTCGTCTTGTCTTTTGTGTAAGTCATTAATACTCAGTGTCCAGCACCATTTTTAACGCATTCATCTTGTTTCCAGAAGTAACTAGGACTTTAAAGTGGCCGTGATTTTCCTGGCTTCAAATAATCCCAAGACTTTGCTTGAAGTTAGGATGTTTCAGTAATAGAAGTTCTGTAGAAGATCTGCCATACCCCAATAACAGGGATCTACCAAACCCCAATAACAGGGAGCTCCCATACCCCAATAACAGGGAACTCCCATACCCCAATAACAGGGAGCTCTCATACCCCAATAACAGGGAGCTCTCATACCCCAATAACAGAGGAACTCCCATATCCCAATAACAGGGAGCTCCCCAACCCCAATAACAATAGCACTGATCGTGATTGCGACTATTGAGCAAGATGGGAACCTGAAATTCTTTGCCGTTGATGAGGTGGGGGAGCATCGGGCTCTACTGCTTTTCTGAAGCCCATGGACCCAATGAGACAGACAGACAGATACACACACACACGCAATATCTGGTGCATTTTCACCTCCGCTTTAAATGACTTGAGTTCAGGCACAGGCTTTGGCCTCGGTCCTACCTCCACACTTTGTTTTTGTGATGAGTGGAGGTCCCGGCGCCCCCCGGCCACCTTCTCCAGGGCGTGTGAGCAGTACCCGGATCTCGTACTCTGTGTCTGGGTCCAGGTGGCCGATCTTGTACTGGTGATTGTCCACTGGCTGGATGTCCGTCCAGCTCCCGGTTGTGCTGCGATAGTTGATGTCTCGCTGGACGATGGGGCCGTCGCCGCTGATGGAATTTGCGTTCAGCTGGACCCACAGGTACGTGGCACCAACCGAATTCAGCTGAGGGGGTGCAATCGGAGTTGGTGGGTCTGTGACATTAAAGACGAGACCATGTTAATGACAAACCTACACTTACATTGCAAACATACAATACAAATTTACATTGACATGGAGCCCTTCATCATGGAAGGACTCCATGTAAATGTAAATGCTTGGCACTGCTAGTTTGGGCATCCAAACTTGCTACAGGTGGCCCTCAGAAGGCAGTTAAATAAATGCTTGAGGCCGAATAGCATTAATGGTTATGGAAAAGAGTTGTGGCAACAGGGATTAGAGAGAATAACAATAACCCTTGTGTTTGGGTTTAGTGCCTTTCATGTCGGGAAAATGCCTCGAAGCACTTAATGAGATATACTGTAAATGGTAGTAACATTACCATAAGCAAAAACAGCAACCAATTTGCGAAAAGCTATGTCCTACAAACAGCCATGATGTGAAGGAATAATTTTTTAATGGGGAGGGAAATTTTATGTGGCACCTGAGAACCCACTCTGCTTTGAGACAGATGACTGTGACAGCACAATGACCCACAGAGATGACAACAGTAAAATCCACATTAAGGTGAAGCACTTCATATCCAAATTAGTCAGGTTTGCAATGTAGGAACTCAGGAGTATTAGAAGGTATCAGAAGGTCAGTTATCCCATCGATCCCTGCTCTGCCTCAGATCATTCCAGGGTTCTCACACTGCAAACCTCCTGCTGATCAAAATACACAGTCACTACACTTTATAGTAAATCCTGTGAAGTGCTTTGAGACGTCTGGTTGATGTGAATGGAGCTATATTAAATACCAAGGGCTATTGTTTATTATTATTAGTTCTCTCTCTCAAATCCCTAATTATGTTTAAATTCGCTTAAATATAAAGTGATTTACGTTCCAGGAATTCAGTTTCAATGTGATATCTTTTGCCATGAAAGAGAGAGACAGAGAGAGCGAGGAAATAGGTGCTGTTAATGAAAATATTTTATTAACTATCCCTTCTTGCTCCAGTGACTGCAGGCTTTAAAAGCTTGGCGGAGAATGGTTTTTGAAATAATTAAATTTTTTTTAATATGTATATTTTTGCACTATTAATATTGAAATTCACATATTTATTATCCGAGGCTGCTCTAATTACATTGGATGCCAGTAGAATTGGGGCCAGGAAAAAAATATCCTGGAAGAGTTACATTTTCCTGATAGCCCCAACTCTCTTAGTGCCCGTTAATGCCCCACTGAGCAGTCTCTCCATTCCTGCGGCCAGGAATATCGTCTTTGACTCAGATTGTCTGAATCCTGTGAGCACAAAATGTGAGCACTCGCTCTATTCTGCTTGTGGGATTCAAAAAATTACAATACATGAACTGGCATTTTAGAAAAATCCTGGTAAACACCAGTAATTACACTTAGCCAGAAATTCCATCTCACCAGATCGGATCCCACCCTCATTTGTCAATCTATTTGGGGTTTAAATGTATCTATATAAAAAAGTTCATTGCTGCAATGAAAGTATCGATCGCCCACTAATACACAGCGACTACACATATTACAGCATATTCTGTGAAGCGCTTTGAGACGTCTAGAAGACGTGAAAAGCACTATATCAAATGCAAAGATTATTATTATTATACTTTACAGTAAAGTCCTGGGAAGTATTTTGAGACGTTTCGAAGATGTCATGAGGTGCCATATCAAGTGCAAGATTTATATTAATTATTATTATATGGAGTAGCTCACTGCAAAACCAGCGTCTCAGCACAAGCCAGCGTTATAATTTCTTCTGCGCTCTGGGCAAGGCATTTATTCTCTCAGCCATCAGGCCTCCAATCGCAAGCTATGTCACCAGACTCGTTGTCCAAATAAGGCAGCCACAATTCAGAGCTCACTGCTTTCCCACCTTTCCTTATGTTAAGACTCCTGTTGGAGTGACGGATGTAATTGAGGTCACTCAGCAGTACAGATGGCAAACCAGTCGTTCCCACCCAGCTGACCCCATCAATATTTCTTTAATGCCAGACTACACAGTGTGATCCCGAACTTTACCTCTTGTGAACCCAGTAAGTAGCCTGATCAGTCTAATAATCTGCTCCCTTCTCAGACAGACCATTCTGTTTCCCTGAAGGGTGGATAATCTCCCAGCGTTTCAAATATTCTTCCAAAAGTTGTCAAATGGAATAAACGCAAAGGAGCCAAACTGACCAATTTATTTTTCCATTCTCTCCCTCCTCCACCCCCACCTTTCCCCTTGCTAGATAGAGCAGATCTATTTCGAAGCCTTATTGATGATTTTCCATTCCAGCCTCAAAAATAGCACATAACGTACACAGTCGCTACGCAATATGCCGGCCAGAAACTCAGTCCTCAAAGCGGTAGGCACACATTGGACAAAAGACACTACCAGGAAATGAATGATTAAACTGGCAGCTCAATCATATTATATACCTCAGCTTAATTGAACATAAAGTGACATTTCAATCTTGTTACCTGACATGCAGGAACGACTGTAGAAAAATTTTCAACTCAAAGAAACCTTTCTGTCTTTTCCATTATTGGAAGAATTCCTCTGTGCCGTGTATCGCTCCTGGTTACCCAACTCCCATCCTATCTCCCCCCTCCCCGGTGATTTATTTATAAATTATTTACAATAAATACAACTTATTTATTTGTAAGTTAATCTTGCACACAAAACCAAATGCAGATAAATATACCAGACCATCAAGCAAATAGAGCAAATCTAATGAATAGGTGTCAGCCTGGCACAATTGGGAGCACTCTTGCCTCCGAATCAGAAGTTGTGGGTTCAAGCCCCAAGTCAGGAGTTGGAATGCACAACACTGCGGTATTGCTGGAGGTGCCGTTCTTTGGATGAGAAGTTAAATCAAAGTCCCTCCTGCCCATTCAGGTGGACATTAAAGATCTCATTGCATTACTCAAAAAGAGAAGGGAGTTTCTCCTGGTAGCCTGGACAACAATCTCCCAGATAAAATTTAGTAGCACATTGCTGTATGCAAATTGTTTGCCGCATTCACTTATGAAATACACAATCACTACAATTTACAATTAATCCTGGGAGGAGCTTTGAGACGTCCTCCCGACATGAAAGGCACTATATCAAACGTAAGGATTCTTATTACAAAGATTACTAAACTGTGACTTGCCTAAGCATCATCCTCATTGTGCAGTTTAGTCATGAAATGACTCGCTCTGCATTTTTGACAAGAGATGCGCATGATAAAGGAGCCGGAGTAACCTTTGAGCTCAGCAGAAAGGCAAGAATTCAGTAGTCAAATAAATGAAAGAGCACAATTGTCAAGCTGAGTCTGTACTTTGCATTCCGTTTATAACACAGCAATCCACTAAATTCTGTATAATTCACTGCTTAATATATCGAGGCTCATTCGATAACGTTGCAGAAATCCCCATTATACAACAGCTTGACTGGTTCCTTACCCCTTGCACAGTGATGCGCTTGCTAACTTGTGTTAACACACAATGATCTGTTGCACTAATGGGTATTTGATGCCATTTAACTGATAGATTGCACAACTCTCCAGTTCTCAGTCAGTCTGAGGTTGCTGGTGTCCGCCTCATTTACTTTTCGGGGAGGAATTCCAGAGTGTGGAGGCCACACAGCCAGGGCTGATGTATGCTCGTTTCCAGATGGCGATGTGTGACTATGTTTTCTTTACTTTAGCTGCAGATCTTGCCTGCTCTTTGGTAAAAGCTTTTGCAGGTCAGCAATACCGAAATCTTCCCAACAGGGGACACTGAATGACATGGACATGTGAGTTATGTAGATCTGATCCTAAACCTACCTATTTACACCCTCACCCCAAATCTACCTGCAAACTGACCTCTGACTTTAAACTTGACAATTTCTGACCTCTCACCATCAAACTGCCTATACTCTCATCCCAGTATCAGCCCTGTTAAGTTTTGGAGTGAAATTTCGCCCACAAAATATACAGTCAATTCACTTTGCAGTATATCCTGTGAAGCGCTTTGAGACGTCTCAAAGATGTGATAAGACGCTATATCAAATGCAAAGATTATTGTTATTAAATCCAATCTCAGGAACACACATTATACTGTACCATACTCAGGTGACATCTGGACTTTGACCCTGCATTGCAATTCTGCAATAAGTAACACCTTGCAGGTTGAGGAGCCGAGGGTGGAAAGACCAGATAACCCACTCTTAATTTTTCTTTAATCTTCTGGGATTTGACATCCACAGAAACCCCTCACCACGCTTAAGAGCATCCGAACCAAGCTGAGAATTCCACGTACGCACGCCACCTACACCTGGACACTTCTCTGTGTCTGGAATGGAATGCACCCTCTCTCCCTGGAGGGACCCACCAACGCTTACCTAATTCCATTCCTTAAACTTACCTTCCGAGCAGGCTCTATCAGCCTGAAACAATTCTTTTAGGTATTAAAACAATAACAGATTTCCTTACCTGAGCTTCTAGCAACAACAAAACATCTGTAAAGGATTGGAGACTGAAGAGCAATAATTGCACAGGCTTTGAACAAGATCAATGAGCTTCACAGTATAGAGAAACAGGAGCATTGAAGAGGTGGATCGGTGTCACAACTTTAACAAGCCAGATGTTTGCTCTGTGCCATCCAGCCTCTCAGCTGGTTGGAAATCTTTACCGAAGCTCTTTTAATTGGGATGAGCACCATATTGTAAAATGACACTTGATTAAATATCCCCATGGAAAAAAAAGTTTTTTTTAAAAAAAGCACACTTAATGGTTCCCTAATCTGCTGTGGATTTACTGTCACATCGACACCTGCTCTATATAATCCACTGCTCCGCTTGCTCCTTCATTGTGTAACTGTAGGAAATCCAGTATCTTGACTCATTACCTTGAAAGGGGAATCAATTACGCTTGTGGGACAATTCGGTCCTTTATTTTAAAGTTCTCATTAAAAAGCAATTGAAACATTGCTCCTCTGACAATCTGGTGGGTAAAGGCACCAGCTGGGGCTGCGTTCAGCCGTGCAGACCTGTAGAAGGTTCCAGGCTGGAACATCC